TCAAGTCCCATAATTTCTCTTATAATGTCCAAAAAATGTTCAAGTAAAATTAATGTTATATATTTGTGACATGGAGTTTCGTCGTTTAATTTTGTAAATCTACGTGCTACATACTGTTTATTTGGGATCTTTTTTTTACATATTTTGAGTTGGACAGGGGCCATTAAATATGTGGGAACTCAATTAAAATCTCATCGGCTACTAATTTACGAATTCTCAGAATAATTGTACAAAAACAAATAGAAAAAGATTTACATTTTGTTTGTTGTATAGCCACAAAGCATCAGTGTTTACATAGCATTGAATCATCTAGAAAGAAAACGTGCCTATCACGATGCGGTTTGTTAAACATCGGTCTAGCATTAAATAAATACCATTTCTAAGTAAATAATAGCTTTTTATGTGGAGATTAAGTTGTATTGTGGTTTCACTCAATAGGATTACTTGTGGGATTTTTAATTTTATTTCTACGAAATACAGTGGCGCAGCTCGAATTATTACCAACGGCAACTTGCACCAACAAAAATTACAATATTTAGCCTTGTTATAAATAATTAATTTACCTCATGTAAAGTATCTAGAATATACGACTGCATATTTTTGCCTTCTTTCAAGAAAATTCCCTGTTTTTATAGGGTTCAAACTGTGCTGATATAATTTTAAATGTAAAGCGTATAAAGAATTACAATGTTTAGGCCCAGTATATCCACCTTCTGGGAGAGTGGTTGTTAGTTACCAAACAGATTTATATTAATTATTACGTCTCTACTTTTGCAAAAAATTTACCACAGCGAAGTATATTCTGCAAAAAAAATAAATAAATGGTAACCATTATTTTATTGGTTTAAAAATTTTATTCATAAATTTATCTGTTCGGTAACTTTGCCAGGAGGTGGATATACCGGTCCTTATACCCTAGCAGCCGTTTTTATTTTAAATTGACAGCGCGTTGGACAGACCTATTCGGCCAGTCTAACCCAACTACTTGATTCGGCGACGTAATTTCTGTTTAATGTATCTATAATTTGTTAGTTTGGGTAAAAGAACGAACGGCAACTCGAGTGGGATTAGATGTATTGATAAGATACTCATCATCGTTCACACGTTAATATATCAAATGTGTGTCGATTCATTTACCGAACGAGATTCGATTCCGTTATTTTGAAGCGAATCATTCGCAACTTTCGCATCTCTAATCCGACTTACTTAGTTCCTAACTTGAATGGTCTAGTATACCTCCTGTTTTATATTGTTTATTGATTGCAAAGGCCAATTACATGCGCTATTATGACAAAGGAGCACTGGGTTCTCTGTCGGTATTCTTATTTCTTGTGCTGTATAATCGCCCGCTGAGAAAAATTTTTGGCTGCGCCACTGACTGGAAATAGACTTTGAAAATCTTGTACATAGAATGTTTTTGTTGTATTGCACCGTTTCCCGGCTATAATAAATTGGCTGGTTTTTACGTCTTGTACCACTAATTCATTTACTTGTAATTTCGTAGCATAAATAACTAATACTCTAACAGCGACAAAGCGTGAAAATGAAAAAGTGCGAGGAAAAAAGAAATATTAATTAATTAAAGTGTGTCAAAACATGTTTATAAAATAAAAGTGATACTGTTACATTTACCTCCGATTGTTAAATAAACTGACTAATATCTGGAACGTGTAATGTAATAAATGTGAGAACCAAGAAGACTGAGTTGATTTCTGCCATGAAATTTTCATTAGGATTTTCCTTCTGAGCGAGGTGAAGTAAAACCGCAACCATAGCTATCATAGTGCGCCTTCAGGATAACGCGGACCAAGATGTGGGCAAAGAGACGACCGAGATCAAAGAGAAAGAGGGTCATCAGGAAACCGTAGACACTCCATTAACTTCGCCCTCTGATGAACTTCCTGTACAGGTATAGATAATATGCAGATAATTATGTATGAGTGATAAATTGGTAATGCATTGAAGTATGTACCAAATGCGGTTTGTATGTTGGTATTTACATTGTGAGTTTACAAAATGTGTGGACAAATAGTCAGTCATTAAGGCTGGCAATTTATTTAAAGGTTACGATAATTGCAAGCTTTTAGGCGCAATTTAATCCATATCCACTAATCATGCCGTTTGATACAAACGACGTACACTCAGGCGCTTGATAAACTAATTTAATGTTAATTTCTCAATAGCAATCATTTAACACCACCTCGTTAGATGATTCTACTTAGTGAAGAAAATCTTGTTCAGGAGTTCCGCAAGGATCTGTACTTGGGCCACTGTTATTTAACATATTCATGATAACAATATCGATCAGTTGGATGCCAATTGTCTTCTTTATACAGATGATTTAAAAATATTTGTTGTAGTCGAGGCATGAGCGACTGTGAACTAATCCAAAAAATTTCTGATATCAGTTAAACAACTTACCCCTCGTTCCTCAAAAATGCAATGTAATGTTTTATCTAAAATCGTTTACGTTGGCTTTTGAATATAAACTAAAATATGTGATTTTAGAGCGCCCTAATAACTTTCGTGATCTTGGTGTAACTTTTGATAGTAAACTCTCGTTCGTAAATCATATTGAGACCGTTATATCTGAGGTATACAATACTTATCGATTTATAGTCCGCTGTAGTCGAGACTTTGCGGATGCGAATACAGAAAAAAAATATAATTATTGTTTCGTTAGATTGAAGCTTGAATACGCTGCAATTGTGTGGTATACCCGCCTATCGGTTTTCTACAACAAGAACTGCTAGACAGACATTCAGTGTCCAGTCTTTAAGCACATACGTGAGTATCGGTCATAGGTATTTCTGCATAAAATTATAAATCATAAAGTAGACTATCAAAACATTACTGAGCAATTCAATTTTCATATTCCTAGAACACCCTCACATGAAAACAAAACTTTTTTCTCTCCGCCACGCGCACAAATATACTTCATCATTCTCCCATATATACAATGTGCAGCAATTACAATTTGCTAGGTAATAAGTTACTCTTAAGGGGCCTAGTCGGGAAAAAGCTTCGGATAGCTGTGACACTCTCTAGAAAGTTTTTATACATGCGCCGCTGAATAATTTTGCTCCTAACTATACCTTCACTGGATGTTTTATTCACCGACTTCATTGAGGTGCGATTCCCGATAGAGGTAACACTTCCTTGCTCCATTTGTAGTGACAAAGATACTTATTTAGAAAATTCATTTTAACCAAACAGTACGGAATAAAAGTTTGAAACTTGCTGAGCATAATTATGAAGATTCATTCTAGAAGACATGTATGAATTTTACCTCGAATTATACCGATTGATATCATAATTCAGGAGCTAGTCACGTTCAAATTTCACTTATATTTACAGTATAAATTTTCCCTACATAAAGTGAAAATTAATTAAAATAGATATACATGTACCCTCTAGTACACTTTCAACTACTGATCCTCCAAATTTGGTGTAATTTGACCAAACCGTATGGAAGAAATAAATTTTGAAAAATTACCTTTCAAACACTGGCTCGATTAGCCCTCTTAACGACATTCGATCTATTTATTTGAGATAAACGACGTGTTTCTCAGTGTACATTTTATTTTTATCTCTAGTGTGCTTTTATTCAATATTTGACTTCGCATTCACGCATCATTTAATTATGTATATTCTATTCATTTATTTTCTAGTTTCCCTCCTGTTCTGTAGTTGGATTTGTACCTGTAAAACAGTGTATAAATAATAAATAAATAAATAAATATTATTTTTAACGTATATTTGTCCATTTTTAGTATAAATATGATTTTAGATATGATTTATGAAAAACATTATCTACATACATACACATCACACTCAATACTGCCTCTTAAGGGTATGTACATTTTATTAATTTTATAACAATAAAAAATAGTGTACTTAAGGTCGTAAATTGATTAAATCCGCCAATACAACAGCAGCTTCTTACAATTCTTTCAAATAATGATTGTTTTCAGTAAACTTGCATCACAATTCGAATTATATCAAACGATTCTATATGTACAACCTTCCATGCACTATGTAAGCTGAATAGAAGTATTCAGCTGTATATGCAAATGATAATAATTATAATTATGCAAAGAATAATAATTAGGTATAGAAAATGTAAACTGCAATTAAAATTATGATTGGATATTCATAGAGAGTTGTTATGTATGTATATTCTTTAAATGCACGAGGCATGTGGTTGCGATCTCAAGTTGTGCAATATATCAGTTTTTAGTATACAGTGTGTAAAGGATTCGAGACTGATTTTTAGAATATTAATTGCAAATATCACTATTTAAAACCACACATTACAATAATATTTTTTTAGGTTCGGTTAGGTAGAAAAAAGTTTTGTTGTAGTTATTCTTAATTAGTCCCTTTATACTTCCCAATGCCTAAAAACAAAATTTATTTTAGGACAAATTGTTTCTTCGTTATACTTGCTTTAGTTGATGTTCAATTGTTCTTTTTGTTACCATAGTCGCATTGCCTGGAAAGAAACCCATAATCTCTATGTCCAAATTGTTTTCTTGGCTCAAAATAAAATCAGAAAATTGAGTGCCTCATCTAAATTGATCACTCTGTATCACACTTAATTAATACTAAAGTTAAAATTAAGACATTGGTAATGGCTATTGTTATTATTATTATTATTTACCATGAATGCCAAATATTTCCAATATTTGGTAATACGCTGTACAGGGTGTCCCAGCTAAGATGTCAGTCGCGATTCTTTCGGTAATTTTGGAGAGAAATTCGTAGTTCAACAACTAATGTGATGTAGTTTTTTCTGAGGAATCCGCCGTCAATAAAGAAATGATAAAAGAATGTTTTCTTAACCGCCTCTCAAGTCACCTAAGTAACTCCCAGAAAATTCTAGGATTTTGTGTGAGTCAAGAGAGACAAGGCCCTACAATTTATTGTGGAATCCGAACAACATCTAGAGCATCTCTCCCATCTTAATCTGAAACAAATTACAAATACAATTTCTAACTTGCTTCGGGATGGATTCGAACCATCGATATTCGGTACCATGTAAATATCTATAAGCCAATTGCCAATTGGTGTAAGCGCTTTACCCACTCGGCTACCATGCCACTAATATCAAACAAAAGAGTTATGGCCCAAAAACTGATTTTTTTCAAAAAAATCAGTTGCTGATTATTTAATTTCTGTTATAGGGTATTACTGGAACAAATACCGTATATTCAGTTTTTTATATCACTTCTGGTTTGGCCGGAAATTAATTTTTCTTCTAAAAATTATGATCTGCCAATATATTTTGGTTGCATTCAAAAGAACATTCAAGTATTTATCAAAAATACATAAAGCACTTTTGTGATATCTCAAACCGTTTTCGAAGCTCTTTGGCCGAAGAAAATTTCCTAACCATACAACAATAATAAATGCAATTTTATGTTTAGCTTTGCAGTTGTTGTCTTACCATTAGTTTGACGCCTGCCTACTACCATTTGGCCCTAATAAGAATGTTATTTCTAACACTAGGCACCTTGACCACAGGTTAACTGCGATATCACTTAAATTGTGTGCTGTCTGATCAATATTTCAAAAATGGTTAGAGAAATCACTAAAGTGGTTTTCGAATTTTTGACAGATAATTGAATGTTCTGTGAATGCAACCAATATACGAAATTTGTTCCTATAACAAAAAAGATAATCCGCCATTTAATTTTTTTTTTTTTTAATTAGTTATCACCCCATAAATTATATTTGTTCAATTTTTTCTTTCTTGGCGTCGGATTCCTCGGAAAAAACTACATCACATTAGTTTTTGATCTACGAATTTGTCTTGAAAATTACTTTTAATTGCGGCATTTGTGCCCATAAAATGGAAATAATATCTGACAGATGCCTAATGTTATCTGTAGCTGGTTGATGGTTTTGAAGTGCCCTACCCAATAATTCCCAGACATGTTCAATGGGATTCAGGTCAAGAGAACACGGCGGATCATGATCAATTTCGTAAGTTTCATGGACGCTAAATACCTGCTGAAGATGTAGCTGAAAAATCACAATGTTACTGACAATCGTTGGCATACATTTGCCCAGTCATGGTCCTCTTACAGATGTAGAGATCGGTATGTTCTCCAAGACATTCCTCCCCATACCATAACACTACCTCCTCTAAAAGCTACTGTGAGTTAGATAAATCTTTAGCTGTCTCTCCCTTGACATTATCCAAACTCGTAGACTTCTGCTGTCACGGTGCAAGCCGAAACGAGACTCATCGCTGAATAGAACTGAACCCTTTCCATGTGCCAGTTTTGATGATCTAATTGGCTACCTTAAACGGGCTGCATAATCAGCCGGACTTAACCAAGGGGCTCGATATGAAGGATAACCTGACATGCTAAATCCATTGCATACTGATTGGACACTTACTGTAACCCCATGTGCTGCACGTAAGATGCTTCTTACTTGAGAAGCGTAAAAGGTAGGATTCTTTCTTATTGTAAGTCGAAGGTAACGCTCTTGTGGCGGTGTTGTGGACCGGGATCTCCACTTCTGGGCCGTCCTTGTTCAGAATCAGTTTCCAATAACCGATTCCAAGTCCTACTAATGATGCTTTGGCTTACTCCTAATTTTATAGCAACATTGACTTGACGCAAACCACCTTGGCATCAGATTGTGATAAATGACGCCGTGATTCCATATTTGTTTGAAACTCCACAGAATAGGTTTCAAACAAACTTGACGCAATTAACTAGGTACAGAATGAGGATTAATTGTTTCTATTGAAAATACCAAGAATGCGATGAAAAAGAATTTTTTTATTCTGAAATTATAAAATCACTCAGAAGCATACACGCGGAATAAAATGTTTGCAGGAACGTATTCAGGTATGATTTTTGCAATACCCTTAACTTTTTGTGCACAATGTACATAGATTTAAATCATGTAATCTAATTCAGAGTGAGGTGTAAACTGGGAATGTAGTGGTTTCGATTAATTCGTATGTTTTCAGGTTTTTGTTTTGAAAATTTGTTAAATGGTTGTAAAAACATTTTCATTCCACTCATAATCAGAGTGTGTAAATCTTGTTGAATAATAAAAAATAATTTAGTTTTGACTATAAAATGGTTGCGTTATAAAAAGTGTGTTTTCTACCGTATTATCTCAATGATGTTGGATTTAAAGAGTTTATGGATAAAATAAAATTACGTGTACATAATATAAACGACATCAATTCATCATATGGTTAATAAAAGTATATTTTTACGTTTTTACAGCCCCCTCCGATATGGCTCTAGCTATAAATAAGTTATTATTTAATTTTCAGTGAACATTTGACTTTATACTCCTCCCTAACGTTAGTTGAGTAATAAAATCCACAGTTTTAGTGTTCATACATGGTATAATAATGCATAAAAATACTTGGAAATCGGCTCTCTAGCTAGCACCATAACTTTTATCTCCTGCTATAATTTATAGGGTCGTTAATTAAACCTTTTAAATGTTTACAACCGATGATAATAAAACGGCAACTCGGTAATGGCAGTTTATGTCGACAGTTAACATAACCACGGCCGAACATAAAATGCCAGCATCGACTAATAAGTGTAACTTTAATGGCCAAGGTTGGCAGCAGTGACAGCACGAACAAATTCAATACATATAACCAATTGGTATTCCTTCTGGGTACGCTAATCACGATCATGAGAATTTCATTATTGATTTTTCCAATCTCACACGTACCCGAAGAATCTCGGGGACTATTTTTTCACAAAGTCCTTTCGAGAACGAAATGAATGTTAATTCGAACAGCGACCATTATCGACGATCTATTTTCCTTTAACATTCCCGCACATAAAAATTTATTTGTTTGTTTTTACTTCCCTGTATTTGGACACCAAAAATACTGATCCGTTTGTATAATAATGTAATATGTAAGATATGCCCATTGTAATTTTTTTTTGGGATGACATTTAACGTTAAATTGCTAATAATACTTTTACTTTATAAAATTACATTTTGAAAACGATGCCCAGCAACAACATTTTCACTGTGCTGATAAATGTTACAATTTTTTGGAAGTTTTCATTTTCCACAGCTAGTTTGGCCCGGCTAACTATTGCCTCTGTCAGGGATTCTAGTTTGTTGATATAACTTTTCCATTCAGAAACCCCCACAAAAATAATCAGGGGCCATAAATCAGGGAAGCGTACGGGCCACAGCCATAAGTTTCCATACCTAATCGCTTCAAGTATTGCAGCAAAAAGTTTTATATGGGCTAAGTATCATTATTTGCGTTAAAGAGAAGCTAATAGGAGGTTAATCATAAAAAAAACTTAGCCCGATGACGCGTCTAGCCATTACAACACACCAAATTGTGGCTCTTGGCATTGTTCAATTTTAGAAACAGAGAATGTACAGTGACTGGTGTGGCGTTCCACCTGTTATCGGACTAATTTGTCAAGTAAAAATTACTCGTTTGCAGTGCATCTTAAAGCATAGAAAATGTATTCAAATAATTTTGAACGAATTGTCATGTTCTACATTTTTTAAAAGCATAATGATCTGAAAGGGATATTAAAAGAACCGTCCGTGTTACGTTATTAATATTCATAAATGTTATCATCAATTGTGATGTCCTCTAAGGATCAGTCTTTGCCCTGTTTTGTCTTTTTCACCACATTAATGATTTACATATATCAGGATTCACCAGTGGGTAGACGCGTAATGGGTGATTTATTTACTAAATAAATGATTTTTGAAGCCGTTTAACTTCACGGTTGTCAATTAACAAGTGTACAGTCATGTTTTTCGTAAACAAAATGGGTCACAGATACCTGATGAACAGTTCAAAGAAAAATTTTCCGAGACGAATTTAACGTTATTTACAATATATTACGATGTGTTGCTAGGAATTTACAAGCTACTGAGGGAATTTGTAGGCTTGTGGAGAAGTATTATTGTGTATACTCATACATATTTACGGAGGGTCGGAATTTAGGACACGTTAAGTATAATTTGGCAATAAAAATAGGTTTTGCAACATAAAGAGCCATTTCTGAGAATATTTTTAGTAAATTTAGCAATAAATAGTATTAATTAAGACATTTTAAGCACAGATATGCCCCACTCGCATAACCATTTTAGATCAGAACAATCAAGATTCCTTTCTCTATTATTTATACTGAAGTTACCTGATCCGTTATGAAATGGAAATTATTAAAAACACTGTTTATAGGCAAGAATATCAACGAAGTGTCTCTATTGAATTATATAACTTTGTATTTATATGCATATAAAGAAATAATTAAATCATATATTTGATCTTATTACCGTTGTAATGTAATCTTAAATGTTGACTGCGAAAGTTTACATATTTTAAGTATGCTCCAGTTACATCTGTCGACGTCGAGCGGTCCTTCCCGCAATATAAATGGATTTTCAACGAAAAACGCCGAAGTTTAACTACAAAACATTTAGAACGGATATTAATAATATATTTTATTCTTGTAACCGGCAGTGAAAAATACTTATTGTTAAGTACATTCCCTTATACTTTCAGTTCTCTTTGAGTGAGTGTTTATAACAAAATAACTTTATCAACTTTGGATAATACGGAATTCGCTAACAAAAATGCCAAGGTAAGATATCGTTTCATATATGCTTGCAAATCTGACACATAACCGCCTAAAGCCAACCCTGGTTTTACGTCATATCCGATTGGTAAATCCTACCTCTGCTAATTGTAAATGATGCCAACAACGACTCCTTCGATGATGAAAATGATAATTGTAAAACAAGCTCGTTTTTAAATTCCCCCATTTCCGAGTGCTAAAACTTTTATTCCTGGTCATTACCACGAGATTCTGTATATACGTCCGCCCTACGTTAGTATCGCCTCGGGGTGGTCATTACGCGTCGCTACGCCGTCTACAAACTGCCATCCTAACGAGTATGGCCGAATTAACAGTGCTCTCTGTCGCTAATGTCGCCCATAATCGTAAACGCGATGCTCGAGTGTTTTTCACTTATATTAGCCCGGGTCTTTTCTTAGCTCAGGCTGTTTTGAGGTTTAATGGTTCCTAGATGGCAATAATCAGCTTGAACCGTACTTTTTAAGCC